ACCTGGAGCTTTATGTTCTGTTAGCTATGTCAGACATGTCAAATTCGCGATGCGACATGACATCGCGCAACATATCAGGATGGTTTTGCCATTGCTGGCAATGGGGTGGGCATGTCTTCTGGATGATGCGTCCTGCCCATGGGCCGGCAGTTTGACACCCCTGAGCTATGTTCTGTTATCACACAATGATGAATTATCTGTTTAGATGCTATTTTACTAAACACCTGATATTTGCTTAGGTGGCTAAACAATATCCTGAATTAAGCCTTTATTCCACAGATTTTTGAGCATTTCAGTGAACATCAGCTGAACTACATAGAGTGATAGAGGGAGCTGGTTTTTCATGGGATTTTATTGTATCCATTTTGCATTGCTCTGGCTAAATCCTTTCTTCTCATGATGTCTTTGGTGAAAAGGGAGGAAAAGAGAATGCAAACATCTGCTTTTTATAAGCCAGTCCAAGGCTTCATAACTTGATCTTAACAATCATGAATAATTTTCCAGTCACAATGTGATGAAGCCTGGATTGCTGTGGCTAATTACTCTCTCTCTCTCTCTCTCTCTCTCTCTCTCTCTCTCTCTCTGTGTGTGTGTGTGTGTGAGAAGAAATAATGCAAGTTTGTTGCCACATCTATCAATACACAAATACAGCTCTGCTGTCATATCCATAAATTTCTCACAAGTCATAAATACAGCTAAACACACAAGCCATAAATACAGCTCTTGGCCATATCCATTATTTGATGAGAAAACAATAGTCTGACTTCTGAATTTAGCTTTGAAACATGAAAGTATTAATAGTAAATGACTCTTAAAGCAAGCAAGGAACATTTGTCCCGTAGCTCTGGAGCTTGCTTCCAGAATGCTTGGTTCCAGGACAATGGTCTGCACTGGGGGTAGTCACTTACTTTTCCTTTTGAATTTCCTGGCTCTTTTTGCTTCTGCTGGATGATAGAGATAGATGTACTAATAACCTGATTTTAGTCTCTTAGAGAGGTCTGCTGGCTTAGGTGTGCTGGTAGGCATTCAGCAACACAATGAATGCTGAAAGTCAACTGCCAGTTTATCTTTTTTCTGAATATAAATAGGAAAAGGTGTCAACCCCCTTTGCCTTCTCTGGAAAAATGTTTTGGACCAAACCTGCTTGAAATAATGTCAAATGGCATGCAAAAAGCCGGTCTAGAAAGCCAGAGTGAAAGCAGGTTTGTTGGATGCCCCTGTCTCTGAAAAGCTGCTTTGGTCTCTGAGAGCCCTAGATAAAGGTGTAGGTAAAATTATACAAAGTTAAACCCTTTGTATCTGAATGGGAATTTGAAGCACACATCTAATTGAGGAGGTTAGACATCAGTCATCATGTCAATTATGCTCTATGACAGTGGTTCTCAACCTGTGGGTCGGGACCCCATTTGGGGTCGAACGACCATTTCATGGAGGTCGCCAAACAACGCAGTCTGCCATTTTTTCCCCTTTTCCTTAGCTGTGATACTCCCTTTTATTCTATTGGCTTTTGAACGCCAATAGAATAGACTCTCTTGAATAGAGTCTAATTCTATTGGCGTTCAAAAGCCAATAGGAATTGTCCAGGCTGTCTCTGCCCTGCTGAGCCCGCCAAAAGTCCCATTCTGCAAACAGTGCTGCACCAGTTGAGTAGTCCTCGACTTACGACCGGTTGAGTAGTCCTTGACTTACGACTGGTTGGGGGTTGCGGCATTAAAAAGGTTGAGAACCACTGCTTTATGAGGATTCATCCAGATTTATCATTTGTCTATATCACCACATATTCTACTGCACATCTGCTTACCAGTTGACAATATGAAACAAGCAGTCTGTAGGCATTCTCTCTTGTATGATTAACTGAGTAAAGGAGAGTGGAACATGCTATTAAAGTTTGCCCCCTTCAACATACCATTTGACATTCTGCATGAATTAGGGTGCGTGAGAACATCTGAAGTGGAGGGGCTTTTTTGAAAGCTGGTGGTATAATCTGGAATCTTCTTGCTTTAGAACAGGCATGTCAAACTCGTGACGTCACGTGACATCGCGCAACGTATCGGGCTGGTTTTGCCATTGCCGGCAATGGGGTGGGCGCGGCTTCCATGTGACGCGTCCGGCCCACGGGCCAGCAGTTTGACACCCCTGCTTTAGAGGGCCAAAAACAATGGGAAGAAACCATAGTGGACAGACAGAAACAGATACAGACAGCAGACAGACATAGATAGACATAGATAGATGGACATAGATAGATAGACATAGATAGATAGATAGATAGATAGATAGATAGATAGATAGATAGATAGACAGACAGATCATTTAGTGATTGTTCAAAGTTACAAAAAGTGACTTATGACCATTTGTCACACTTGGTCACATGATTAAAATTCAGGCATTTGCCAACTGACTCATATTTATGACGGTTGTAGTGTTCCCAGTTCATGTAAGCCTCTTTCCGACCTTCTGACAAGCAAAGCCAATGAGGAAGCCAGATTCACTTAACAACTGTGTTACTACGTTAACAGCTGCAATGATTCACTTGCCAACAATGGCAAGAAAATGGGGCAAAACTCCCTTAACAAATTTCCCACTTAGCAACAGAAATTTTGGGCTCAATTGTGGTTGTAAGCACTACCTATATTAAAATCCCATCAAATAAATAATAAGTGGTAGTGGTCGTCAATATTATTAATGTTCTATGCCAGAGGTCTTCAAACTTGGCCCTTTTATGACTTGTGGACTTTTACTCCCAGAATTCCTCAGCCAGAGTTGAAGTCCACAAGTCATAAAAGGGCCAAGTTTGAAGATCCCTGTCCTATGCTAAGCACATTGGGCTCTAAGCGTACTTCACAGTTCTCGATCTGTAGCTACAATCTCTGCATCCTTCCATTTAAGATCAATGTTTTTCAGATCTTCCTGAAATGTTTGGCACCAGGTTTTCTTTCTTTGGCCTTCCCCTTTGGTAGCAAATGTAATACTTAATACAGTAAAAATTGATAAATATAACCTTACATGGGGATCTTTTATAGATCTTCCATAATTTTTAAATATGAGTAGGGGTCCTGAGAGAAAAATGTTTAAGACATACTGACTTAGATAAAACTAAGGATATCCAGTATATTAGGTATATGATCAGTGTTGATTAATATAACATATGTAGGTAGTTCTAAATGACTTACAACCATTCATTTAGTGACTATTCAAAATTGCAACAGCACTGACAAAAGTGACTTATGGCTTTTTTTCACACTTAAAATCGTTGCAGCTTCCCCCTGGTCACATGATCAACATTTGGACTCTTGGCAACAGTGCCCCAGTGTCAGGTGATTACCTTGTGTGACCTGACAAGCAAAGTCAATGAGGAAGCCTGAGTCACTTAACAACCTATTGTGGTGAGGATTACTTGCATGCATTTTGTACTTTCTGTGAGCTTCCAGATATTCTTTGGTGAGAGAGGATGGTTGTGTGGGCAAGACAACATATCTGTCATCCATTATTGTGTGCAGAACAGAAATACTATATTTGTTGACTGCCTCTGAGAGGATTGTTTTAGGGTCATCTCAGATCTTGTTTTTTTGAAAATCCAGCAAGCACAAAATAGTAGGTCAAAGAAATTCACATCTGAGTCAGATCTGTGATCTTGAGCAGACAAGCTTTCCATGGCTCCAAGAACACCTCATCCAGTCCTTACTGTTCTTCCTCTGGGGAGGAGACCTAAAGCACTCGTAGCCAGACCTCACCTAATTAACTTAAATATCAATGTCTGGAACTTGTGTCTCCACTCTGGGTAGTAAATGACTGAGCTTTTCATACTGCTTTTGTCTGGACAACTTCTTACACAAAGACCGAACTACTTGTGTGTGGATATGAGTGTGTGCTATTATGCATATAAATGATTAAAGAATGCTGGGTCCAATATTTTGTAGCATTTTGACTCTGCCCCTTGGAATTTAACAGAATAACAAAGCTGGAAGGGACCTTGGAAGTCTTCTAGTTCAACCCCCTGCACAAGCAGGAGGCCCCATACCCTCCCAGACAAATGATTGTCCAGTTTCTTTTTAAAAGCCTTCAGTGATGGAGCATCCACAACTTCTGAAGCAAGCTGTTCCACCGGTTAATTGTTCTCACTATTGGGAAATTTCTCCTTGGTCCTATGTTTTACATTCAGCAATTTTAAGAAATGTAAAGAATATTTGGGGCCAGCAAAATTTTGCCTGACAAGTGAGTCAACATGATGGAGGGCAGCTGTGGCTTCTGATCTCAGCTGCAATTACTTTTCCTCAGGAGTATCACAATGTGTTCTGCAAAGGAAATCCTATGCCTTTTGGAGTGTGAACTCTCTGCAGAGGCTGTTCTGCCTAGCAGAGCTCAAATTACTTGGAGCAGAGGGAGCTGCTAGCATATGGCTAAGGAGAGACCCCCTGGCTGGAAGTATATTTAAACCTTCATAAAGAAACAGCAGTGCCTCCTTCCTCTTGCTGATACTTCCTCCCAAACAGAGACAAGTGTGTGCCATGTTTTATGACTGCTTATGAAAGAGGCTTGCCTTGAGTGGTTTTTGTGGCACTCCAGGGACCCCAAATACCTTTTTTAAGAGATCACCCGAAAAGAGCGCCTCAAAGGCAAAGGTGGGGAAACGGGGTTGGCCAATGAGAAGGCGAGTTGTTCTGAGCATCCACTCCTCATTGTCTCTGCAGCAGCAGCCGCTGCAGCCACAGGCTTCCAATAGCAGCCGAATTTTGGAGAGCCCGTGCCTCTTGCCAAAGAATCCAGAGGTGGCAACAGAAGTAGCAGCAGCTGCGTGGGGGATATGAATGGGACTCCTTCTCTCTTAGCTCAGGGAGAGGCTGCCAAACTCTTATAAACTGCGGCTGGGGAAGGGAAGAAGAACCAGCAACTTGCACAGGCAAAAGTAAATGTGTTTCTCTGCCTCTCTTGAATCTGTGGAAAGTAAAGTTCTTGGAATGGGGGGAGAATAAGGAGGGGGGGGGGAGAGGACTTCTGCTGCTGCTTTGAAAAGATTGATCCAATGCATTCTTCACAACTGGACTGGATCCTTTGTGATGCTTGAGGTGGGAAGCTGAGCACGTTGCTGAGTTACCAGAGAAAAGGAGGGAAAGCCATGGATTTCCATGACAATGTCCCCCTGCGGGCCGTAGGATTCTGTGCATCATTCTTTTTTGTCCTCCTTGTTTCATTTACCTGTGCCCAAAATGGAGTAGTAGAATCTGAACCCACCCTGGAAGAAATCCCACAAGGCGCATCTACCTTGGCTTTTGTATTTGACGTGACTGGCTCAATGTACGATGACTTAGTTCAGGTCATTGAAGGTGCCTCCAAAATTTTGGAAACCTCTTTGAAGAGACCCAAGAGGCCACTTTACAACTTTGCATTAGTTCCCTTCCATGATCCAGGTAAGGCAGTATTTTCAAGCGGTCTAAAATTGGGAATTACTTAGGAAGACCTGCCTGCACAGATAGTTGGGGATTTTTTAGGTTTATTAAAATTTACAGTCTCTCTCTCTCTCTCTCTCTCTCTCTCTCTCTCTCTCTCTCTCTCTCTCTCTCTCTCTCTCTCTCTCACTCACTCACTCTCTGTGTGTGTGTATGTGTGTGTGTGTGTGTGTGAGAGAGAAATGTAACAAATAAAAGGACCAGGGATGTATGAGACCAGGTTGTCTTCAAATAATGATCAATTAAAAAAGACATTATAAACTTTAGAAAAATAGAGACCGTACCGAATTATTTCCATTCAAAGAATGGTGATTGGAAAGAAACTCTCACAGAAGAAACTTCAAGAGACTTTAATTAAATGAATGCAGTTCCTGCAACATATTAATGTGCCAAAAGAGGTGCATTGCTTGGGAATTATCACTATTAGATTTACATAAGGGTTTTATTTTTGCTGGATTGAATTATGAATTGAAAATGGAGTTTATAACCCCAGAACATAGCTTTATTAACTGTAAATGGTATCTGTGGAGCAAATATGATATTCCTAAACATCAGTTTGTATTCAGTATACAAACATGCTATGTCATGTTTTCAATCAATGTTTTAAATTTTTTATTCTAAGTGGAATATATATTTTCTTTTAGAAGCCCTTCCCTCAGAATAATAAACATGAGTCCCATACAGGTGCCTTCACTCATCTGGTATCTCTTTGACTGGGAGTTTACAACTCCCTTCACCCTTAGCCAGCACAATTAATTCCTATGGGATCTGTAGTCATCCGGAGGCTCCAGGTTGGAAAAGGCAGGATGTGTTTTATATATTCTCTAAATATATAAATACTCCCCACTGAAGCTCATTGTATTTCTCATGAAAAGTTCTTGAGATACAATCAAATTTTATGGCTGATGCTTCAGCTGTCTCCTCATTGTCCTCTCTCTGCCTTCCTTCTACATGCTAATCTGCATTCTTCCTGCTTTCTCTCTCACTCGGTAGCATCTGTTTTGTATTCTTCTCTTTGGACTTTCTTTTTCTTTTTGTCAAACATCTTTGAATGATCCTTAAAAGAAAGAGAATGAAGAATTCTGAGGCTAGGGCATAGGGCAGTGAAAGTACAGAAACCATTTCAAACACCAAACAAAATCTGTTTAAAAATCTGACCTTACAGTTACTTCTTTCTCCGGACCTATTGTGGAATGAAGTCATCTGGAATTTGTTTGAGTTGTGGGAATGATAAGAGATGTTGCTTTTCAGCTATGAATCTACTTGCTCTTTAAGGAAAAGGTAGCTATTGAATGATGAAATTCTTAGTATGATTCATAAGATATTAGGGATGTATGTTTAAAGCCATTTTTCACTAGATGGTCTAGAGTTTTCCCCTCAGAACAAGAATTCATTTTCTTTCTTTTGTTTTCCCTTTTGTTCATGTGAGGCACCAACATATTTGAGAAAAACTGCCATTGCAGTGCAATGTGTACCAGCAGAGGGCCCAAAGATCTAATATTCGAATCCCATTGGAGTATTTTAGATAACATTTTTAATCCAACTTTCTTCCACATTGCTAGGGAATTGGATGGGGCTAAACTGATTTCAGTTTGAGCAACTGACAGTGTTAGGTGACATTGCCAGATCCTCAGAGTATGCTGAAACACAAACACAGTTTAAAACACATTAACTACAAGCTAGTTTGTGGTGTGATTTTTCAAAACAATAGTTTTTGTGAAAAAAAACAACTATGTTACAGGATAATGACTTGTCCAGATTTTTCCAGTTTTAGAAATGCAATGAATTACTAAAAAGCTTCTGTCAGAAATGTGAACCCTACTTTTATTGAAGATATGCTTCCAGATGATAACTCTTGCTCTCTCTTATTAAAGACATTGACCTGTTTTTTTTAAAAAATTACTATTTTGTCAAGAAGCCACGTGATCATGTTGCTTTATGTATAAACATAAACATCATTACAAAGGGAAGAGCGTTTAATGTTATTTTAAAGAGTCTGGTAAATCACTCGCTGTTATTTAAGGACAAAGATATTCCTTGTAAGATGTTCAAATTGTTAAAATATGCCAGCAAAGGAAGTATTTTCATCATGACCAAAACTTAAAGAGCAACAATAGCTCTTCTTCCTCTGACTTTTCTTTAAAAAAAAAAATCAAAGAAAAGCTGCTGAGTGCCAATCACAGTATATACTGAAGGGTTTTTTTTTTTTTGTCAGTGTTGCCCTGGAAATAAATGACGGCTGCATTCCTGGAATTAGGAAGTAGACTATAAAGGGAAAGGGATTCTTTATAGACATAAATTTTAGGTGAACATAAAAAAAAACCTTTACAAGATGTGTTAGCATGCACCTATTCTTCTAAGCATTAAATAACTATGCCCTTTGGTGGTCTTGCACAACTGCTTCAAAAACTGAGACTGTTATGTGTTTGTGCAAACAGGCAATATTTTACTTAGATTGCTAACATAAAGCCATTCTGTAGTGAATTTGATATATCCTGGATCCTCATTCTAGCAATGGGATGGAATTTTTTATCACCAGGCATTACATTACTCCTCTCATAAAGTAGCCCATGTGTCAGAAATAAAAAAAAATACAGTTAAAACATATTTTAAATGTGATTTGGCCAATTTTCACTAGAAAATTAATGGATTTTCATGTAAGAGCTTTGGAATTTTGTGAAATTTGGCTCTTATTGGAACAGAAAACCTTAGAGAGAGAAGCATTCAGATCTATCTGCTAGTCCTTTCCTCAAGTCCCACAGAAACAGAAGATGCAAGATTAGAAAAATTTAGCTGATAGAAGAAGTGTATAATTGATGCAAAAATGTGAACTGAAGAATTAGTTGGAATTGGGAAAAGATAGTTGGGGGAAAACCCTAGAGCAATATTTCTCAGCCTTGGCAACTTTAAGATGTATGAACTTCAAATCCCAGAATTCCCCAACCACTGGCCTAGAGGTCAGTTCTTAAGCCCTTTTCAGTTAAGGCTTTGAAAGTGGCAACAAGCCAGTATTTTGGGTTTGAAGGAGACATATTCATGAGGGAAAATATTGGGAACACATGTTGATTGAGCTCAAATGCTGAAAGGGTGATTATTAAAAGAAGGCTTTGGTGCTACTTGAGTCTCCTCAGCATGTTCTGATATTGGCAATACTTGTTAGGACATCCAGTGTAAGCTGGGATTCTGCACATTCTCATTTTAATTTGGATTGACTCCCCTGTAGATTTGGTCTTGGACAAAGTTACATCTTCTTCCTGAGTTTTCAAGCCAATGTAAAGTTAATTGACAGCTGGTGGCAGTGGTTGGAATTTCCTTTTTGGAATTATTGTTTAATCGTGTTGATTATAATTGGTTCATTACTTGCTCAGGATCTAGATTTTGTAACTGAAGCAAACCTCTACTGCTCTGTCTCTTTAAGCAAGGTTAAAAAAGGAGGTTCTGGTGATTCTCCTGTCTCTGTTGCTGGGTTTAATCAGTTTTAGAAGGGGAGGAAGAAGATGGGGGAGGAGACAAATGACATGTGGGGTACATCAGGTCTCAATGCATTCATATTTCCTGTTTATAGGAGGCCATTGGATGAGGTCATTGGGGTCAAACATATTTGGCATGCTGATGATACCCAGCTGTACATTTTAACCTCAGGCCAATTAGGTGATGCCGTCCAGGTCTTGTCCCAGTATTTGGAGATTCTAGGTTTCTGATGGGAAAAAATAAGTTGAAGTTCAACTCTCATAGGATAGAGTGGTCACTAGGCTACTACCAACATCTGGAAGCACTGAATCTTTAGTTCTGAATGGTGACCACACCGATCCTTTTGAGAGGGGTGCACAATTTCGGGATCTTGTATTCATATCCCATGGCTGTGGCCAGGAAGGCATTATTATGTGGACTGGGAGGTTCTTAAGACAGATGCACATTGTGTGGCTATTTTCCAGTTATTGGAGAAATAGAGGCAGAAAAAAAAGTAGTCTAAGGAGTAAGCAACACTGAGTTCTTATTATAGCTTCTTCCAACAAGTTCCAATAGCAAAGCTGGTTAAGAATTTGGAGAAATATTGTTTTGTACATCAAGAGGGCTACAAATGGGAGAATATTATTTAATATAAGAATGCAGTTGTAACAGAGAGGCACTTTTCATTTGCTCTTTTGGTTAATGGCTTAAACATTGGTAGTTTTGCTAAATGATTTTTTAAGGCAATTGCCTATTTAAGAGCATCTCAGACTGACAATCTCTTTAACCTAGTGCTGGCAGTCTTTCTGGAAGTCCCCAGAAAGCTGAGATGAGATGAAGGAATGTATTTAAGGTGACTGTTTCCTTAATATTAGATAAGGCTTTACCAAAAAAGACAGAAGAGGTAGAGAATTGTGTAAAGTATGAATATACCAATGCTTATGTATAGTGTTTATACGAGTGCAAATCAGAACGACCAGTTTTAAGAGAAATAGGACATCTTTTATTAGAGAAGGCCGCCCATGGCTCTTGTCTTTTACAATCTTAAACATCTTTTATAGACAATCCTTTCAGAGTATTTCTTCAGATATATTCCATAGCTGACCCAAAATATGATACCAGTGCCAAGATTTGTATGAAATCTTCTGTTTGGACATGAATATTCCTATCGTTATGAAGAAGTTAGGGCCCTTACTAGGTCCAAGACAAATTTAAAGGTTCCTGGAAGATGTTAGCCTTCATGAGTGACCAAATGCTCACTCCCTCTACTCCAGTCTTGGTATTCTTGTTATGTAAGAGTACAAAGAACCAGATAATAGATGAGAAGGAGAAGAAGTAGTAGATGACACTGAATTTGCTGTTTTGGAAAGCTGAGTAATGCATTGCTTCTTCTGTATTACTTGACCTGTATCATTTCTTCCTGACACGTCACCTCGTGTTAGGAAAGGAAAAGAGGGAAGAGTAATCAGGCAACTCCAAATAGTGCAAGTAATAGTGCTTCTTCATAACTA